CACACACACACACAGTGAGAGAGGGAAAAGAAAGGGAAAAACCAGGCAAGAACTCAATAATCTAATATAAATTCAAACCTTATTAATGGAAAAAACAAAGAACACATAAACATGTTTACAATAGTAGTTTAGGCTTATGCTATGAAATCACATACAACTAAGCACATAGAGTATATAGACTTAAGCAATGCCCAAATCATAGCTTGCAAGGAACACCAACTAAAAGCAAACAAGAGTAAGAAGAGTAATAATTTCCACAGGGCAGGGCAGTTCACAGAGTACACGAGGCACTACTTTATCTGCCAGAAACACCTTCCACAAACTGCACACAGGAAATACCTCTGCAGTCTGATGCTAATGAACACCTGCGATGTTTGTATCAGAGAGGATTACTAACTGAGCTAAATATGGGTTTGGCCAAAGGTCTCTTCAGTGCAGTCTGCATGGTTGCTTGAAACTGTGATTGAAATTTTGGCTTCAGCAAAATAATTTCCCAGTGGCATTTAGAGTTCATAACAGGTAATGGTGACACTATCGATGATCCTCTGCTGCACACCAGCAGATGGCAGTATTGAATAGTTGTAGGTAATAAGGAGCATTATTCAAAGTATGACTGCAATCCGACCATTTCCAGCTGAGCAGGGAGTAAACCTGTCATAGCTAATAATCTGTCATAGATGATTGATATCGCTGCCTCAGCACAAAAACAGGTTCACTTAAGAGGCAGCAGATGCTCTTCTGATAAAAATCACATCCTGAAGCTCAACAGAGTGCACCCAATATTACCAATATCAACAATGAAGAACCCAGACAGTGAAAGAGCATTCCACAGTGACTTGCTGTGTGCAGGCAAGAAGGAAGAAAAGATTATTTCACAGTTAAGCACTGATTTAAGATAAGAGAGATACGGTATACTGTGATACTGTGTGATGCTGAGGAAGAGGATGGTAGTCTTTGTTACCACACAGGACACGTGCATACAGCTGTGAATATCAATAACACATTATTATTTTTGCACTGACCCTCAGCGTGCACAAATGCTACTAGATTAACCTTCCAACAAACGCATGCAATTATTTGAAAGAATAATAATGGTAACCTTCAAAGCAGTGTCCTTTATCTGTGACTATTTGAAGTATTTCAAACATACAAGCCTGAAAATGTTAGACAGGACAAACCGGTTCATCTACTTTCTGGTATGCAAGAAAGATACACCAGGCAAACATTTCAAATACCATAAACAGGGGATCTCAGACATTTAGGACAGCCATTGTGCCAATATTGTATTACTTATTTGATGTTGATTAAATAACCCTCTTAGTAAATAGTGGCCTTGTACTAATAAAAGAGTGTATGAGTGGCTGGTGCTGGTGGTATAGAGGCAGGGAGGGGTCAGCTAGTCAGATGCCTGAGGGCTCTTTGCCTTTAGACAGACCTCTGGGATCTGCTCGGAGGACCCATAACTGACTCTGCTTGTACCTGTCAGGACACATTTGCTGCCAGAGGACTGGCTCATTTGTCCCGTGTCCTGAAAGAGCAGTGGATGTTCCCAGTGCAAGCACGATGAATGTTGCATCATTCATGCTTAATAATTCTCCCTTATCATCTATCGACAAAATGTAATTTGACAGTATAATAGAGAACAGACAGTTTAAGTAAGATGATTTAAGTAACATTTCATATAAATAAAGATCTGTTTTGCTGCTCTGCTGCTGATGGATAAAACACAATCGTGACTGTAAACGGAACCCATTTCATTAAAGCTTTTACATTTGCTGCTGTAAACACAGAATGTTAAGTAGGTCTTTCCAAAGGCAAATCCTGTACTGCAAAGAGAGTAATTTGATTCTCACAGTAGCAAGTTTGGAAAGAGGAAAACAAGAAAAACTGGACAATGCAAGCAGCAGTGGCTGAACAAACAGGAATTCAAATTTTATCAACAGATAATCTTTTGCATGTGAAGCAAGCAAAGTCATAGTAGCATCAACAATGTTTGATTGGCAAGAGCAATGCATGTTAAACACAGAAAAACAAGATGGTGGCAAACTGACAACACAGATCTTGTTGCTTATAACGGGCTGTGTATCGTGTTGTGAGGCTGAAGAACTATGATTTATGTTCAAACAAGAGTTACTGCACTTACTGTTGTGTTTGAACACCCGTATAGTCGCCCCTGACAGTCTGGCCCCTAGGATGAGAGATGTGTGATTGAGCTCATCACTCAGTATCAAACAACCCTGGAAGGAGAAGAGACTTTATTTAAATTTCCCGAAGAAAGCTTTTCAGTTCCGGTGTATTAGCTGAACTACAAGTTTCTGCATTCTTGAAATCAAAACAATTCTCACAAACTCCATAATATTCCTGTTTATACGTTCCAATGACTATTTGTCACAAATTTGATTATTGAGGCATTTGCATAGATACTGTATAATGGTGTTTTGTATTTAGTGGTCTATATTAGTGAGGGGGCCAATTAAATTTCCCCTTGCGTACAGTAACAGTAAATAATATTACGATTTAGTAAAACCATACATGGATGGAAATCATAGCAGTGTGTGCTACCCAGCAAAATGATTGTTACCTGTTTTCTGAGAGATGCTTTTTTAAATGAATTTCGCTTTGCAACAGTTTTGTAGCTTTGTGCTGTGTCCTTGGATAATGTACTTTATAACAGTTGTTTCTCTAAAAGGATCCACTTTGCCAATTACATGTCAGCCCACTCCTCTAGCCCCACCTACATCCATGCCTCAATCATAATCACCTCTATCTAGGTATTCTGTGCATGTTTACAGTGTGTCATTTTTCCCTTCTTTCATGTTTGATGAAGTTTTGACCAAGAGACAAATCACAATTTTCATAATGGAGAGTATGGTACTTCATGTTTCACACAAATCAGCATGCAAATTAATTCAGCCGTTCCACAAAATTCTCTCCAGTAAATTAGCATATTTAACACTGAAGCTCTAAGCATTTGACTGCATTAGTTTGAATGAACTCCTGTAGAGGGTATGTTGACACCGTCTCTGTGACAGATACCCTCGGTTTGGCCTGGGGTCCAGCTGGCCTGGTCCCTCGTCTACCAGCAGCTGTCACTCTAATGTAGCTCTGCCTGCACAGCAAGGCCTGTCCTGGCAAAGCCTGTCCCTGTAGGATAGAGTTGGCAGAGTGGTTCGACCCCCAGCCCCACAGGGTTACTGTGGGGGGCTGCAGCCTAAGGAGCTGCTACACCTCTTGGTCTGTATAAACGACCTCGTCCTCATCACTTAAACAGTCAACCTCCCCTTCTTTCTGTCCAGTCCAATCACAGATATTCATGCTGTGTGTTGCCCCTGGTAACCCATGGCTGTCTGTGTGAGCCAGGCTGGTGTGCCGACAGACCAGAGTATGGGTAATCATACCCTGGAGTGGTGCTCTTAACAAAATCTGCCCCTTCTTGTCTATGTGTCTGAAAGCAGCTATGCCTAGAGCCTCGTCCTCCTGGCTACTGTAATGTTTAATTATGATTTTAATTAATGGGGGTGGGTCGGGAGTTGTTCGCAGCTGAGTTTGGTTGACTGTTATTCATTAATTTAGGACATATGCAAGAAAGGAACAAAAGCTAGAGCTAATTAGATTAATTTCTCCTTCACTGTGAAATCTACACTCATATACAATAGGATTTAATGGCATTTAATGTGTGAAATCACAAACCTTGCCAACAATTGCTGGAATATTCATGGAATTGGTGGCAAAACCCATCCCAAAAGTCATGGAGGACTCCACTCCAAGGAACTTGGCCACCAGTTGCTCCAGCTCTTCATGGATGCCCAGGTTGCCTACGAGACAAACATCACAAAGATAACTCACCCTGACAAGATCAGTGCACCTGCTGGTTTATCTGGTAATTCTTCAGTCACTGGGTTTTCTCGTCACAAGTTTTGACAGAGATAATAAAAAGCATGAGGCCAAAGTGCAAAACCTGCAGTAGCAGCACACACAGTATCAGCTCCTCGCGCTTTCTCTGGCTTTGAAGGGATTTTAAAAAGATTCAAGATGTGGTCAATTCGTAATTTAGTTCAACTACCCTTTTTCATCCCAGGGCAAGTCCGGCAAGGTCTGAAATGGTTCTGCAGCACATTTTGGGACTGAGGCAGTTGGTTTTAACCCAATGTGACAGGTGGGGACCAGAATTCATTTAGACAATTGATCAGATTGTATTCTGTCACCTGACATGGTGTTGTTTCATTTTGTGCAATGAAAGTGGGATTTTCAGAGATCACTGGGGTGCTTTCTGTACTACCCTGGTGGTCAGCTGATATAAAAAGAATCACCTCTAATTCTGAGCTACAAGGAGAGAGGCATGCAGAGAAAAGTTCATATACACTGTATTTTATTGCAATGTTATATATATATATATATATGGTAGAAATATACTATAATATATGTGTTCAACCAATATATCACAGTCTCTTATTTTATTATTATTTTACGGTATAAATACTCCTATCTCATTAGTGCAGTAACTAATAACTGCTAATGAGTATTTTAATGACACAGTTTAACACTATATTTTTGAGAGTGTTACTGTAAAGATAAACTTGGCAATATCACATAAGGAATACAGTAAAACTCTCAGTAAAAAGATGTCTATTAAAGCTTTGAAAAACTACAAGATGGAAACATACATTAATTTAGTCACCATCAGCAATGTACATAAAAATGGATAAAGACAATCTTCATAAGACAATTATGCCTTAATTGCATATACATGGGATACTAATCATTGCAGTCCTAATCAATAACAATCAGTAACCACAGAGAGCAACTATTAAAAAGTTCAAACAGGCTGAATGTTTCAGGAAGGACTGGAAAATGAGTATCGACTAATGTGTATAAAACCATAATACAGTGAAGCAGCTCTGTCTTTATGATGATTCCCATGCAGTGCTTTCCATCAGGCCTTGCGCCAAGTCAAATCGATTCATACATTTCCTCAACCACTCAGGCCCGAAGCCCTGCCGGCATGTTCAGCTTTTTTGATCAGACTGCATCGGCATTTGCTCTCTATATTGAACATTTTACTTAGCCGTGGCTTCATAGAGATGCCCTGCCTCCTTATTGATGCTAACCTCATACCGCTGCTCTAGGTCTGGATACTCTTCAGGTAAGAGAGAGTGGAGTCCTTATTAGATCTCACCCACTTTGCTTACTTTAAACTATACCTACACTGTCATTTGCATCTCAATAAACATGGTTTGGTTTGCAGTGGCTTATTATACTTTTAAGAGAAGAGAGTATAAAACCATTTTAATGTTATCATGCATATACCGAAGGCTTTGATTACCATATCATTTTATGTGGCCCCAGAAAATGATACAATATATAAAGGGACTGTTGCAGAATATAAACAATTTTTATTGTGCAAACTGCAAAGTAGTAAAAATAGGACTAAAATTAAAAAAGATATGCCAACAACTTTAACAATGCTCCCTTTTCAAAACAAAATAGCTGTATAAACTCAATAAACTGATGTAAAATAGTATTTAAAGAGATATTTCTCCAATGTTCTATTGCAAGTAAGAAACAAACTGTTGTGTGCCATGGTGTTTTGCCTCGTTAAAGAGAGTTAGTTGTGGGTTGTTAATTGTTGTGTTATAAAGTTATAGCCATTAGTAAGAAGGGTGTGCATGTTACGCTGCTTTTCCTGACTGTAGCGCTCTTCATGGCAAAAACAATATTGTTGCCTATTAAAAGAGTTACAGCAGTTGTTTTAGCTATACACCGGTACGGAGGTATATGAAAAATTCATATTATACAGGAAGTTAAAAGCGGTACACCCGGTTCACCCAGTATATCACCCAGCACTAATATAACTATTGCCAAGGGTGGAAAGCATTATTGTTGAGGGACAATAAAGATTGCGCTTGAAAACCTCCAAGCTAAATCTGTCTCTCTCATTGTGAACCTGTGGCTGAGGTTTTCTCTTCAAAGCCTAAAAAAAAAAAACGAGACAAGAAAAAACAAGCCTGGGAGAGTTGATCATTTCTGTTGCCAACCTTGATTGGAGTCTCAACAGACAACTGCAGCATTTATGGTTCAGTTTTAACATGTAAACATGCAAAACAGTCCTACTACATTGGTATATTAGTGTATACATTATAGTGAAACACTTCCATGTGTGGTAGCTGCACTTGGTATTTATTGGTCATTTGTCATTCATTTGAACGGCATCATTATCTAATTTGCTGTATGTTAATGATTGCAGGAAAAGTGGGAACAGTGAGCTATCCATTAAGACAAATCCATGAATGTTTGACATGACTGTTTGACATGACTGTTTACTCACAGGGCGTGCTTTCAGTGCACTTTGTATCTACACTACAATATGCCTATTCCATAAAAGATACCTCAATTACACTTACAGTACAGGACAATAATATTGGTAGTCGAAAGATTTATAATTTTCGGTCACTTTTAAACTCAAATTGACTAAACTGAATTTGACATTGTGTACAAATAATCTCTAGGTCTTGGCCCAAAGCTTAACTTTGAACTGCAGTTTCTAAATATATTTAATATCCAATAATGCAGAAATAGACATTAAATATATGAAAAAATAGCGTGTATTAAAAAACAATTTACTTAAATGATGTCGTAGGCACAGAGAAGAGCAACGTATCAAAGAAGTATAAATTGTTTTTTTTTTAATCTGATTTTTGTTTTAAATAAATAGAGTGCTGGTAAATTCAATGAAAACACATCCAGGAAAATTGGATTTTGAAGTTTCACCAATACAAACCACTGCATGTGAACTGAAACACTGGTTATAGTGGCATCACTGCTACTACAGAGGTACTGGGCTCTTTAATAATTGATGCTTAATAAGGTCCCAAGGGAGAAATGCTTGCTATTCCTTAACTCTCTCAGTGAGCCAGCTGAAACACAGAACACAAACCCAGGGAAAAACAGTCCCATTTTAAAAAGAGAAATAAACATATAAATAAATCACATAAATTAATAATGGATGGTGTGAAGGAGTGTGTATGTGTGTGTGTGGGAGGGGCTCGTACTTGCGTATAACTAATGATCACATCAGCTCACTTTCTGCTAGCCTTCCCTCAGTAGATACACAGCATGGTGGTGTCAGAAGTGCCATAAACTCAACATTATTGACAGAGAGAAAGGGAACTACTTTTCTCAAGTAAACATTGCTGAGTCTGGCATGTTCAATGAGTGCCATAATGTTTATGGTTTTGATCAATAAACAGACCGCCGATGGCCAATCATCAGATTTCACTGCCACAATATTGCGATGCCAGAACATGAGATTCTGGCGCACACAGCCAGTTAAACACCATCAGAAGCCGGGTTGAAGTTCAGAGGATAAAACGGCATTCAAAATTCATCTGAAGCCACAGATTCCACTTTCTGATCCTGCCTGTTCTAACACTTCCATCACATATATTGCTTTTGCATCCTGCCTAACGTCCAGGGTATTTCATAATGTTATGTTCCACTATGATATAATTTCCCCAGTGTGGACCAGTATGTAATGATCTCCGCTTATGCCCGAACTGTACATAATTCAACAAAGGGTGAATAATTCATATAACACTGCAGCCACTGAAACATAATTAAACACGCGGGCAGTATAATTCACGAGAAAGATAATGAATGATGGCATATGTGATGAGGGAGATGGGGTTTTATTTCCAGTTTGATAATAAACCTATTCTGTATCATCAGGATCTGCCAGAGACTTTTAATATAGCTGCATGTAAGAAATTTGCAGCACTGTAAGATAAAGTAAAAGACATGCCCTTGCAAGTCTGGCACACTTTTTTTTGTTTTATCTGCACATTGACCACAAGCTTACCCATTTCCTGTCTTGTGCTGCAAACTCCAACGCCATAGTCGCGTGTTTTGTCTGCCACAGTTTTCAGGAAATCGGCGTTGTTCTCAGCAAAACCGAGGTAGTTGTAAGAGCCCACATTGATCACGTTGTGTAGTGTCCTCCCAGTTAACCTGCAAGTATGAACATTAGAAAGTAACATTAGAAATCATTTAGGTTTTTTTACACATACACGCTCTCAGAGAATTCATTATATTATAAAAAGTAATCAACATTCAATTAAATATAATTGCTAATCACAAACTTCTTCATCAATGGAGTTCTGTTCATGAGAATCAATTATAACAATGTTTATTTAAGGTAAACAGTGTGTAGGCAGTATTTGTTATTCCTGTTTCCTTAGACAAGTATATAATCAAATATTCCTTACTCATTTTAGCCAGAATCATGAGATTATGCTGCCCTATAATATGTAAGTACACATGTAACTCCATAGAGAATAAACTGGGAAAAGTTGGGGAAGTGTGAGTCTCATAATTTCTTGCAATACGGCAAGTTGAGGTAGAGGATTTTAAAGAGTATTTTAAGAGAACTGCTCCATCTCATCAACTGACCTACTTCTTCTCACTGCTCATGTAAACCTGCACACCACAAAAAAAAACCAAAAAAACATCTGCATGTTTACCCATTCACCACACGTCACCACAAGCCGACTGCCCCATTTATACTTTTTGTCACATCAAACCTCTTTAAACATGTAATCCACGCCTACCCCTCTTTCCCGATTCATCATGCCATATCCCCTCCCCGTGGCTCTGTTCATATTCATAATATATTCCCTGAATACATGTCCATGTGCAGCACACAGGCATCTCAACTGTATTAAAAAAAAATCAGGATTGACATATCTTTGCTCACGACACATACCCATGTGCTTTAGTTCCTATCTTTCTTTCTATTTTTATTTCCATTAGCTTATAGAGAAGGAGCTTGATCTAGCCACTTAAATCTTGTTGTATAGTTTCTAGCCACAGAAGAGAGATGATTGCGTTCAAAAACACTTGCTGGCCTACGTTAAGCTGGAAAAACCTTCTTAAGTTGAGCAGTATATATATGATTATGAGCCAACGGTATGTCTCATCTGCATTTTGTCATACGTGAGTGGATTACAGTACCTAAATGTCCAGTTGTAGTCATCAGACACCCTCTCCATCAGGTCAAAGACAGGCCCCGGCAGGCTGCATATGGGACGATTCCAGTTGTCTCGTACCCTCATATACAGGTTTCGAGTGTAAAAGTTCTCAAAATCTTGATAAAGTGGCACAAAGTCCTGTGAGCAAACAAAGACATTTTTCAAAAATCTCACAGTAAGCCAGCAGCAGGATGTCAGATAGCGGTCAAACAATAAGAGCAGGAAAAGTTATCCAAGCACAAAAACAAAACAAACAATTCACATCGAAATAAAATCGGTTATAAAAAAAACATTGCTGTTTCTTAATGAACTTCTTAGCAATAACTTTCTTAATAACAAAAGGATTCTGCACATGCTTTATAGTAAGAGGTGCACTGTTTCACTCAGTGTCTTCAGAATTAACAAGAAAAACAAATATTTTCCATTTGAAATCTTAGATTAAAAGTAGATATACATTATGCGTTTTCAATCTGTGACCGGATACATTTCCTTGTTCACCTTTCCAAAGGAGTTTGCCAGGTAAGTAGAGGCTCTTCCATATAGTACATGATTTGTGTTTGACGCTCTTACCCTCTAAGACCACACAGGTATTCATTATATTGTGTCCACCTGTGTCCCCTGACGACTCTGTTTACCAAGATTATTTGTTCTTTTGCCTTCATTACCCCTCTCTGTGTGTCTGATCCAGTGAAACCACCATCACGGGAGAGACCACATACAGGCATACTGTAAATAATAAACACAGGGAGCAAACTGCCTGGTTATTCCTCCTAGAGACTGCTTTATTGTCTCTGCCTACGGACACACCGCCTTACCAAGATAATGACAAAACATGGTCACGCATTTGTTTTTATATAATTGTAGCTTTTTTTAAATATGATGCACAGAAAACAAATCATTAACTACTACCAGTTTATCTTAACTCAAGAAATCGAATCTGTGTAAGAACAATGGCTCTTATGTGGCAGCGCTCAGGCCTTGTCTGGAATCTAAAGCACAGTAACAAAGAAAGAAGTTGAATCCCCTGAGATTTAATTAAGTCTTCAGCAGATATTCTCTGTGGTGTCCTGTCTCACCCATGGCAACAATACAGTGCAGAGGAACATGACGTGATAGAGAGAGCTTACGAGCAAAAATTGAAATAATTAGGGGGAAACAAAATGTGTTGACACCCAAGGCATGCATGCTCCCGTGCTCCTATTCCCACTGTCGGGGTACATGTGCGCCTCTACAGTATGTGTGTATGCCGCCACTAAAATGTGCCCACGTTTGTGCCGATTGCATGTTTTACCTACCTTCTGTTCATCTCTTTCCCGGGCAAGGTGGCACTTCTCTAAGCCCACAGCTCTGAGGAAATCTCTGAAGTAGCCAAACAGGGTGACAATGCCAAAGCCCAGGTATGTCATGACAGCCACGTAGATGGGCGCCTGTTCAAAGGACTCGTGCCTGTGCTGCCTGGAGGCGACACCAGTCCCTGGGCCATTTTTCTATACAACAAGAGGCCCACATAAGCTGTCTTACATTGCAGACAAGACAAAACAGAACAATACCATTTGAATAAAAGCGGCTCGGTTTTAAATGAAGGGTTGTCGTCAACACACCAATTAACCCAAATAAAAAGGAGACAGTGGCCTATTGGTGCACTTACAGAAGTGACTATTATTCAAAACTGACACAAGAAAAACTGGAATTAGATCCATAGTAATGTTACACCTAATAAAAGCTGCAGAAATATTACCATTTTGCATTGTTAACATTCAAATAATTAGAAAATAATTTACATTTGGGGGTCATTTTGTGGACACGCTGATATTTGCATGCATAAACCAGCATAACTGATACCTCTGTCGCTGATAAAGAGCCAATATAAGCTAAAAGAGGGTATAGTAATGTGGGGCGTTGGGAAGCAGAAATCACCTTATAAATCAGCAAAAGCAGGATGTTAAAATGTAAGAATTATCAGTTAAATTGCAGAGATACAGACTGACATTTCAACATTATTGTGCAGGACTTATTGTGTAAACTAGCCAACATTCCTGGCTGCCATTACAACTTAAGCCAACTGTTGAAATTATGCAACTTGCACAAGAAATTACAAACATCTTATACTATTCAACAAGTTGATTTCTAATGGCTGCAGTCCAGACATTGTTTTCTTTCGGCTCTTATTGTTTTTTTAAGTTAAGACACAGAGCTAACATGTTTCTCATAAAGATAAATTGTCGCCTGATTTAATAACTTACTGTTGTTATGAAGCTGTCCGCACAGTTTACAATGTCTTTTCTGTCCATCTTGAGCAAAAAAAAAAGTATTCCTACAACTGCACAATTAATATTTTAATCCATTTCTTCAAACAAAGACTTCCGGCTGCCATCTTTGTTTGATTTGTCAGTTACAGCTTGTCTATTGAATTAAAATTGCGTTTTTTGTTTTTTGAAAAAAAAAAAATAAAAAAATATATATATTTTTTAAACCTATTTGTACAGAAAACACCTTTAAAAATTGTATTTATTTGTTGTTGAACGTGTATGCTTTCACATTAAACTGATGCTACGATGCTAACGGTTATCGCTATAATCAAATATTCAAAAAGAAACGTTACGACCGTTAGGTTCAAGATGGACGACGACTAACGTTAAAAGTGGTTATAACGGATTCAAACACATCGTAAAGTAAAATGTCATCGCTTTAAGTAGATTAATCAATTGACTGTCAGGTTTAAAAGTAAGTGAAGTGGGTTACAGGTTTAGTTAATAATATGATATAATTACATAATAAATGTCAAACACACATTCAGTACAACACCATTTGCAACCTCCCTTAATTAGCAATATGTTGCAACTTGCATCTGACTAATCATTAGGCTTCAATATGAGGATAAACATTTAAACAAAAGCACACAGAAACTGCACCTTCCTCCAACCCAACAGTTACCACACCGGAAAAGAAAAGGAAAACCTGTTTTTATTAAAAGAAAGAATTTCAGGGCGGGGTCGTTGTTGAATCACTTATTTCTGTTTACAATGTTGTTGTTTTAGACTCAGAGGAACTAAAACAACACCTTATAAACGGCGGTAGCGAAGGCACGGCCGCCCTAAGAGCTGCAAGACGAGCATTTAAATAAAAATAAAAATAAAAAAACAGTGATAAATTGTGTTTTACGTGCACATTGCAGCGTAAGTATTGTAGTGTTGTGATTTCTTTCCCCCCCGCAGTTTATATTCAGCCTCAGGAAGTTTCTCTACGTCACTGAGGTGATTTCAGGTAAACAGCGTTCCTCATTAAAAACAACATTAACGCAGATTAAAGTGGCAAAAAAAATAAAAACACCTGACTCACGCAAAGAGCAGGTGCGCTAAGTATAATTATATTTGTTAAAAAAAAATAAAAAAAATAAAAAACTACTGGCAGACATACCTCTCTCTTGTTGTGATAGCCATTCCTCTTTAAATCGTCGCCTTTCAGTCCGTTCTGGTTCAAATGTGGTTTTAATTTGCCATTAGCCACAGTTGCTGCCATATTCCTGCAGGCACAGCGGCGACCGTCTCCTCCGGGTTTGACTGTCAGGTAACCCGGTGTGCGCTTCACTCAACTCAGCGAAGGTGACTTCCTCCTTCTGTTGCACCGGTTCAGCCTCTCAGGAATTGGTGGTGTGTTTGCACATGGCTCTGTGTTTAAGGTTTGACCCACATATAAAAAACAAAACAAAAAAGTGAAGTCACACTTCAGTTAACGCTCTGTGTCGATACTGTGTGAATGTGCCACTCTCTCTTCCCGTTTATCTAGAAGTGAAACTTGAGAGCATTGTGACAAAGCTGCACTTTACATATATAACATCAATCTACTTTGAGTCATAAGATATTGTTTTTATATAGTTAATATAACTACTATAGGCTACTTGAGTATTTCCATATACTTTATACTTCTACTACACTATATCTTAAAGCAAATTTTACACTTATTACTTCACAGATTTAAATATTTTTAACATAATATATAATTTTTTTTACATACAAAACATGATAATCTTATAATATATGATGCATTGTTGTGTGTAATTCAATTTAATCTCCTGTAACTTGGCCAACTACAAGAGTATTTCATGCCACATACAAATGAATGCATCAATATTAACAATATATATAATAATACAGTAGGGGAGACTGGGGTAAGATGAGCCATTTTTCATATTTAGGATTACTACATCAAGGCAATCATAGTTTTGTCGCTAACTAATATATCTGCATATATTTCAGGATGTTGTGCATCCCTTCAAACAAACAGAATGAGTGTAAACATAACTGTTTTATAATATAGCATGGTCTCGTGGCACAACTTACCCCGTGTATGGGGTAAATTGAGCCGTATCACTACTCCCCCCCAAGTTATCTTAACAATGACGCCAATAATATTTTTCTACTAACATATCAATTGAGTTTGCTTGAAATGTCTTAGCTGGCTGGCTGGTTGGCAGTAACTCTGGGAGAGAACCTTGCATATTTAGATAGATCTCTAGGTTCAATATCTCTTAGGCTACCTGCTTGTTCTTCTCTTGACCAGCTGTCTGGCACAGGGATGTTGTTTCGCTTTGCAAACTCGTAGGCAAGTTCTCTACATTTGAGGGTCGTAAGCCCATGAAACTGGTCTGCGAGATTCTTAATATGTTCTGCAAGTTCAGACTCGCATGCCAATCTGAGGAATCTTTAGCGCTCTGCTACTCCATCAATAGCCCTGTCTTTTTCAAAGGTACATTTCTTTTCTGTCAAATGAACGCTCTTCAGTGGTCCATTCTGTCTATTTTGCATCTTTTGCTGGCTGCTCGATTACGCTTCTTACTCTTTCAGAACATCAGGTGTAGCTCCCCTGCTTGTTTTGCGCTTATATACACGAGGCATGATGTCCACTCTGTAATCATACAAATGCAGAATCTTGATTTAATATGTAAGACATATAGGCTACAGCCAAAATACACTTATTAAGTGTATGGCCCAGAGCTACCATTTTGACTTTATCAGTCCCCACAGCTAAAATGGTGCACTTTTATGCTAGGTTTATTACCTCATATTGTAGCTCATAGATACCACAATTGATGTATAAAACACATTTAGAATTATCTGTTTTGGTCTAAACAGAATTCCCATGAAACTTGTGACTAAATTCACTTTCAAGAGTGAAAAATGTTTTTTTTTAGAAATAAATATCTAACCACTTTACCCATGTGGTTCTTACCTTCACAGACTCCATGAAATGATGCCTTCCTCCTAAATATTTGGTCACATGATCAATGTTTTTGACCTTTTCCTAGCAACAAGGGGTGGCTCAACTTACCCTTTGGCTCAACTTACCCCAGTCTCCCCTACTCACAAGGGCAATTTTCCAGCATAAGATATTGTTTTATAGTTAATATAACTACTATAGGCTACTTGAGCATTTCCATATACTTTATACTTCTACTACACTATATCTTAAAGCAGATTCTACATCTTTACTTGTTACTTTACAGATTTAAATATTTTTAACATAATATATATTTTTTTTTACATACAAAACATGATGAGCTTATAATATATCATGTATTGTTGTGTGTAGTTCAATTTAATCTCTAATTAATAAATTAATGCATCAGTATTTACAATATATATAATATTATAGTACTTATTAAAGGGCCATTTTCCAGCATTATTAGTACTTTTGCTAATATGTCTTTTACAAGCATTTGAACACAGGACTGTGATTGCGTTAAGGTATTTATACTTTTCCATGAAGTAGAAGTTCATATTGTAGTTTGTTCACCCAATAGTAGGTCATGCAACTAAATAATAAATGGTTTGAGAGTGTAGAACACCTGCACTTGGTTTGTTTATGGATGTGTTTTATTGTAGCCCTCTTTAAGTACGATTAGTCCAGTGGTGGCGGTGATACTGTAGCAAAAGGCCAAAATCAGCAGTGTGCATGGTGTAACGCTCACAGTAATCTGATTACAAAGTAATAGTATTCCTCACAGTCACATTACAGGTTGTTTAAACATATGCTCTCACTTTCAGATTACATAGTTTGGACTCTAGGCTGTATACACCTAATGTTTCATAAAATTACTGGAAAAAACGATATAATATTATGCAGAATATAACATGGTACTTGTTTTTGATACAGAACTTCATGCAGTAACAGGTCAGAGGGCAAGTTCAGCTAGAGGGTGGCGAGGCTCAGACTTGTTTTAGGATACCTCAGGAATCGAGATGCTTACGAACGTGAGGGGGCTTGAACTCACGCTCACTCAGCTGGACTGCTTTCCTAAAATGTACAGTAAGTAACGAGAACATTTTATCGACTACATGCAGCCACATGGATTATGTTTCAGGTTACAGCTTTGAGCATTAATGTGTAACTGCCCAGCTCACCCTAATGATACACTTTACAACCCTCCTCTCCTCCTTACAGTGGCATTGTTTTTTTGCAGAACACAGAGCGCTGTTTCAGTTTTATAGCAGGGAATTGTGCTACAATTTGGAGTCACCGCAGTTAGTCTTTTGTAGCTGATGATTTACTGAAGTGTCATAAATCACACACACTGTTATTGACATAGGTCAAATCTAAAATTGCCTTGTAACTTACTTCTGCATGCAAGCTGTTGACAATTTGGTGTCTGCCCACATTGTTGATATTTTCCCTCCGGGCAAACACAAAGAGATTGTTTGTTAGTAAAAGGTCAACGCCTACGCAGTGGTCTTGCGGTGCACTTAGTTTGTGGGTGCACAGTAAATGGGAATATGCACGGTATTGTGACAGTAAGTGTAGTGAGGGGTGGTTTTGCTTACACATTGCTTACATATTGACATTGACCTGTTGCTAAGTGTATATGGGAAGCAGAAAGTCCAAGAGATAACTTCAAGGGGAGCTTGGAGTTTGGAATGCAAGTGCATGTCTGAACATTATGCCGTGAGATTAGGAAATGTTTGGATGACAGTATCTGCTATACACCCTCTACTTACTTTCTGATGAGCTATTCTACTAATGTGTGTGTTTGGACAGGAAGCACATTTGATTTAGGAACTGCAATATGGGACATTTCACAGCCTGTTATCTCCTGTGTTATTTTAACACAAATCATTCATCACTATAGGTATGAGACTCTATTCTTCACAACCATTCACTGTTAGACGGATGTCATTTCCTTCTTTCCCAACCCACAACAATCGGAAATTGCGCTTTCTCTTTGACGTGCGAGTTAAGTCTCTATTTGAATTGCAAAGCTGGTAGAATCGGGCCCTCTTGCAAGTCATTGTGTGATGTTTTGGCTGAAAACACTCTGTGCCCTGTGGGATGACACGTGTCATCCGGCATCACTTCAGAGCTGCCCTCACTTCACACTAACTGATGAGGGTTGGTGTTGTCTAATAACTCAAGAACCTTGCCATGGAGGGAGGGGTGCAGAATGCATGCTGACATTTGCATGAGGATAAACTTAGGAAGGCTGACAGTAGAGTGCTGGGAGATCGTGGGTATTGCAGTTTGAGTGAAGCAGAGAGAAAAAGGACATATTGTGAATCCGGATTAGTCTGCCCGCATCCAGCTGTTACAGAGAGAATGATTGAATGGAGGGTAGCACAGCGCAGTCTTAGTAAATTAAAGGTATCCGCAACTCTCACCTCCTCTTAGCTCAGCTTGGAATCTTGAATGGAGCTGTCACAGTGGCTGGTGCCTCCCTGGCTTCACTACAGGATTGCTTTCTACCAGTGGGATGAGATGCAACCTACATCTGTCAGGCTTCATTAGCTTTTTCAATCTGAATAGGACTGTTCATTTTCAATCACAAATGTCTTTTTTGTTAATTCTTCTGTTCAGTTTGCACATTTAGGCAATTATGATTTGCAATTAACAGCACTGAGCTTTTAGTCATACTTTATCTTGAGGTTGAACATATTTTCATTGTGAGTTTAAGTTAAATTGATCAGTCTTTAGGGAGGATCACAAGATTAGGTTTATCTCCGCAGGGAAATTATCAGTTATACACTTCAGCAAGCATCTTTCATGTTTTCTTCATTTCTCTGCTTCCTGTTTGATATTGATTGATGTTTCAATTTTCTAACAGGATTGATCCTTATATTTTTCACCCTGGGTTCTCTTCTCTGCATTTAAGACTATTAGATGCAGTTTTCCTTTTTAAGATGTGATGGGGAAAATTATTTTGAAGCCTCCATGAAAGAGATTTCCTACCTTGAATACAAATGAATGATGAACCGGTGTATATAGGGAATAAGCTGCCCAGAGCGCCCAGTGGGACGTCTCCATCTACACTGCTTTTATGTCAATGTTATGTAAAATGGGCTTTCCTTAAATACATGATGAATACTAATCCATATTAGATCTGCTTGCATGTTTTTAATAGACTTATATTCACAATTTTGCTAGCTTGACTAGTTATTTATTTTTCTTTTTATGTATAAAGAATGTAATCCTGTGTTTGCATGTTTATTAAATTAAAAACAAGGTAATGTGTGTTCAGATAAAACACCTTGTAGAGTCCAGAATGGTTTTTGATGGGTAGCCTACAAGAGATATGGGTTGTCCCTCCACCTAGTGGCAGTGCAGGGGACAGCACCTCAGCACACTACTTCTT